TGCCAGAATCAGCTCCCCTGTCTCTTTCTCCAATTTTCCTATTCTTAGCCTTTGCCAGATCTTATTACCTGCTTTGCCTGGTACTATTTTTTTAAAATGTACTTTGTCTTGCCACGTCTGTTTTCTATTCTTCATTTGGTCTTTCTTGGAGGCCAGTTTTCTTTCTTGGCTCTTCAGTATACAGGTGGTCCTCAACTTACAACAGTTAATTTAGTGACCTTCAAAGTTACAACGGTATTGAAAAATGTCACTTATGACCGTTTTTCACAGTTACGACCTTTGCAGCATCCCCAGATGCTTGGCAACTGGTTCATACTTTTGACGGTTGCTGTGTCCCAAGGTCATGTAATCCTCTTTTGCGACCATCTGACAAGCAAAGTAATGGGGAAGCCAGATTCACTTAATAACCGGGTTAATAACTTATCAACTGCAGTGATTCACTTAATAAGTGTGGCAAGAAAAGTTGTAAAATGGGGCAAAACTCACTTAACAAATGTCTCACTTAACAACAGAAATTTTGGGCTCAATTGTGATTTTAAGTCGAGGACTACTTGTCTCTTCACAGTATACTAGTTTCTGTATCTCACTGTCCTTCAGATATTTTTCCAATGCCCTTTTTTCTTTTTCAATTCTCTAGCACATTTTCTCCAGTTTTCATCCTCCTTCTCCCCCTCCTCTCCCAATTTTGCTGTACCTTCTGTCACACAGAAGAAGCACTGACATAAAAACAACTAAAGATATGAAATCAACAGGCAGTCCAGGCTGAAATGCTCTGCTAACAAAACCACAAAACAAAACAGGAGCCATTGAACAATAACAAACATCAAAGCAGGTTTTCAAGGCTTTCTGGAACCCCAGGAGGGAGGGGCCTCATCCTTATCTCTGGGGGAATGCTGTTCCAGATGGCGGGGCCCCAACACAGAAGGTAGGCTTCCTCGGTGTTGCAAGATGGTAATGTTTAATGGAGGGGACTTGGAGTGCACACACTGCTAGAAAATATTGGACAGGCAGAAATGATTGGAGACATGCAGTCACACAGAGCTTTATTGGTAACAACACCTTGAATTGCACCTGGAAACCTTCTGGTAAACAACACAATTCGCAGAAGAGTGGCGACACAAGGGCACACCAAGAAACGCCCATTGCTGTCTCTGCTGCTGCATTTTGAACCAACGGTAGCTTCTGGGCGGCTTCCAGGGCCATGAAAAGCTCATTGCAATAATCCAATTGTGGGGTGGCCATTGTCAGCCCTGCCTCAGCTTGGACTCCTAAGTAGAAACGTTCCTTGGCTCCATTTGTTGCAAAAGGAAAACTTTTATTGGAGGTCAAGTGAATTGCAGTAAAGCAAAGCCAGAATTGAAGTTCGCACCAACATTTCCCGGTTAACTTTCCCCATCCAGTTCTTCTCTTCCTTTGGCCCCTTACTGTCCAATGATACTTGAGTAAATGGCTTTTGCAACGGTCTTGCAACAAACTTGAAGACTCTGAGAGGCATGACTCTCCCTACCAACTCCATCAGTTTTTATTTCCCCTCCCTTCCTCCTCCCTCCCCCCCTTAGTTCATAGCAGGCTGGCAGCTCTGACAGCCAATGCGATTGGCTGTCTAAAGGACAACCTGCACAAAGACCCATTCTGGCCACAGTTATCCCAGGCTCTATAAGCAGTAGATGCAGATCTAAAGGACATCCAAGTCTTGACTGGTGAAGGGCAGCCCCATCCAAGAACAAGGATCGTGACCTTCTCGACCCAAGGCTTCCAAACAGCCACTCAGCCTCATTAGACTTGAGCTAAAGTCTCTTCTGCCCCATCCAGACCTTGGCCAATGCATTTCACCTGTGCCAATTGGGATGTAGAGCTGGGTTTGAGGCCGAGACCAAGGCTAGGTGGGCCTTGTGCCCCAGAGATGCCAAGAGATATCTTACAGCAGAACTCATCCATTGCCCAGGGCCCCAAGTGAGGGTTTTGGAAAGAATACTGGACAAAGCTCTGCCAATTCCATCATTAAAAGTTTCCGATCCAAGGATGGACATTCTGTTCCAGCCCCACCTAAATTCTTTCAGGCAAAGCTGCTAAGCCAGCACCTTCATGGGACTCTGATCGGCTCCCCCAGCTTCGTGTTTCACTTCTCTGGAAAGGGTGCAATCCAAATTTATCAAAGCAGCTCTCCAGATACCACCTTGTATCTCAAGTGCATATGTAGGACTATGGGTGGGCATGAAAGTTGAAAAGGCCATCTCTGGCTTCTTTGGATAAATCTCAAGGCTTAGCACCATACATTCTTTAGGACAATCTTTAATTTTATTTGTTGGTTTATCAAATGTATTTTTCTGCCTATCTCACAGCTCAGGTAATTCAATCCACATGGATCGAGGCTGATGAATCTAATCTTTCAAATTTGGGTTATTCTCCCTCCGCGGTTGAGAAAAGGAATATGATCAGGCAAAGCAAACCCTTAAGCAGAGGAAAAGGGATAGAGAGAGGCAAGCAGAGCTGGGGAAGGCCTTCCTGTCCCTAGGACATAAGGGATATATTGGTCACTGCTGCCAGCCACCTTAGACCGCACAGCACGGGCAAGTAGCCACAAGCAAAATGAGTGCTAAAACAGCAGGTCGTCTGGAGTGGCGGTCAGAAAGCAGAAAGCCACCTGAAATTCACACAATCTTGCGTGTCTCTTCTTTACTCATCAGAGTTGTCTTCAGAGTTGCAAGAGGAGGCATGAAAGTCTGGAAGAAAAACCATCCACCAAATGGATCGCTGGCATTGTAGGCTTATGATTCAACATGTGTTGATGTTGAATTTATTGGCTAAGAATAGGGCAGAGCTGAAATCTTCAAAATGTGGGATTTGGCAATCATTGTTGCGCTTCGTGCCAAATTGTGCTTTAATTAGGTGCTGAAAGTGAGGTGAGTAATTGCCATTTTTATGAAACTTACTTGCCTCAGATTTAATATTTGTCTGAATAGCTTTACAAAACTATTTTTTTTAAAAATTGAAACAGCACCTTCTCTGTTATGTCAGTTTGGATGAATAACTTGACTGTTGGCATTTGGCGCTTAAGAGCCTCAACTGTCCAACTGAAACCTAGAGATTAGAAACATGAAAACAGGTGGAAAAGAAGAAGATCAAGATGTATTTTAATGCCTATGGATCTTGGTCCAGCAGAGGAAAAGTTTGTGTCAAGTCAGCAGCAAAGTCAGGTCAAAAGATTTTGGAACATGCAATGTTAAACATTCCTTTAAGATGCCAAATATGCAGAGTTTTGTTTGCATGGCCTGATACATCTGTATAATCCAATCCAGGATATCCACCACCAGGCTATAAATGTAGAGCATCAGGGTCACCAATGAAAAAAAGCCCCCAGCAGCTAAACGGAAGGCTGTCCTAAATTCCAGCAGTAGCAGCATCTTAATTCTAAATCAGTCATAAACCTCTTTCTTTTCAGGTTCCATTGATATGAATGGAACATTGTGTGTATATTCAGAATTTCATATACATATACATATGTATATTCATATTCATGTTCATGTTCATATAGTGTGAGTATACTGGTATATACACATACATATAAATATAGTGTTTATATACCCATACATACACACTCTACTCACACACACTTACACCAGGGGTGGGTTCTACTTACCTTTACTACTGGTTTGCAACAGGAGCACGCGCATACGCAGATGATCAATTATGACGTCCGGGTGGGTAGGCGGCGCCTCCCGTCGTTTTTACTACCAGTTCTAAAGAACCGGACAGAACCGGGGTCAACCCACCACTGACTTACACATATATGTAAATATATCCATGATGGCTCAGGAGTTAAGATGCTTGAGCTTGTCAGCTGGAAAGGCAACAGCCTGTGATGAGAACCTGTTACTCACCCTACTTCCTGCCAACCTAGCAGTTCGAAAGCATGCAAATGTGAGTAGATAAACAGGTACCATTTCAGCAGGAAGTGTACTGTGTTCCAACTTTTCATGCTGGCCACATAATGATGGAAATATGTCTTCGACAACATAGGCTCCCTCGGATGAGCATTGGAGATGAGCACCGCCCTCTTGTGTCAGTCGTGACTGGACAGGGAAAACCTTTAAGCCTTTATTATTTAGGTAGTTTATGGTTATATTATTATGGGAGGAGGCTTCAACGAGACTTTGGATTTAAATTCTATGGAAAAATTCCCATTCATAAAAAAAATTATTAACCAGAACTATAATTCAATCATACATGGATACATGCAACTACGGTAGATTGGCATTTGTTATATTATAGCACAGAGTTATACTGGGCGTTAAAAAAAAATAGATTTGATTACTTTTTGGTCTCAACATTATTTCAGCATATTCAAAGGGTATCATTGATGTCATGCATCTGATCATAGCACAGTTTAAATTTACAGTTTTATTTATTAAGCCATTTGGATGATATTTTATTGTCTCTAATTGAATCATAATGAATTTATAAATGTTCTCAAAAATTTAGAAGATTTTTTTTAAAATTTAAACTACATTTTTCTATTCTTAAATGTTAGTCTTTTGATCCCTCCTGTCTCTAATGTTGAAGCAGAATTTAAAAATTTAAACGCAAGTGAGGTTGGCCTCTAGATATAATTTATAATTCACATATGTATTAAAAAATGACAGATGAATAAAAGATAAATAGAAAAATAAAATCTCAGCTGAAAGTAAAAAATGAAATATCAGCTTTTAGTGTAAAAGATTATAGAAAATCAGTGGCTTTCAATAACACTGCAGGGTTAGAGTTAGAGAGTATTTCTGGTCAGTGGTGAAATCCAAATTTTTTTACTACCGGTTCTGTGGGCATGGCTTGGTGGGCGTGGTGTGACTTGGTCAGCATGGCAGGGGAAGAATACTGCAAAATCTCCATTCCCACCCCACTCTGGGGCCAGCCAGAGGTGGTATTTGCCGGTTCTCTGAACTGCTCAAAATTTCTGCTACTAGTTCTCCAGAACCTGCTGGATTTCACCCCCGTTTCTGATCATGGGTAAGGAGAGAAGTTGTTACACCTGTGCCTCCCTTGCTTGCAGAGTATGAACTGAATAGTATCACATCAAACTGAGTTTGTGTTAAGAAGCTTGTGTCGAAGATACTGGGAAACGGCTGAGACATGTGGCTGGATCTTAGCACATCTGTCAGACCTGGTCCAGCTCGGACCCTGAGGAAAGAAAGACTCTCGACTCCATTTGTAGCAAAAAGATTGCTTTTACTAAAGCCAAGTGGTTACAATAAGCAAAGCCAGAAATACCGTAACAGTTTGAGTGGGAAAATTCCCCTACTGGCCCACCCCGTTATCACCCCATTGTCCAGTCACATTCAGAGAAGACATTTTGGTAACTGTCCCCACTGTGGTGGGTTAGATGGATAGGTCCATTCCCAGGACCACAGCCTCAAAATGTCTTGGGACGGTACGACTTATCGCCTTCGGTTTCCCAGATTTCTGTCTCAGGTTCCACTTGTTCCCTCCCTGCCTCCCTCTCATTTCCTCCCCCCCAATAACGTATGGCAGACTGACCTCTAACGAAGCACAGAGTTGAGCGAAGGATGGCAGCTCTGACAACATCACTCAAAGCAAAAACAAGGGGAAAAAGAGAAAATAACAGCTACAGCTATCAAAAATGGGAATACAAAGTTATCAAGTCCTCCTGAAGATATATTTGCTTTCTTTAAGAGTCTGCTTCTTAATGCCACATTTATTTATTTATTATTATTATTTAAAATATTTATATGGCCTACCATCTTAAGCAAGTCTGGGTGGCATACAAATTACAAACTCTGAGACAGCAGCTGAAGAAGGGGTGACCACAAGAGATCCACACGGCCTGGAGCAATTCTCCCCAGCAAATGTCCCTGGAGATTCTCAGTCATCCTAACATCCCACTTAGGATCTGGGCTTCTGCTGTGGGGAAGAGGCACCGAAGAAAAAGGGGAACAGCCAAGGTTGCTCTCAGGTATTTGGGTTTCACGAGCAATTGGGCCTCCCTCCTGCAAACAAAGAGACCCCTGCAATTCAGGAGCGGCCCCCCTTCCCCCATAAGCAGCCCTGGCAATGCAAGATCCTTATATGGATGGAAAGGGTCAATTTTGCAGTTTTGTGTTTTGAGCTGAAACAATGAAGGATTTGGGGTATTAACACGAAACGCATCAATTTCCACCCTCCTCATCAAACAGGCGATTTCTGCTGGCACAGCACAATGTAGCAGAAATTCAGAAGCCCTGATTTGTGATTGTGTACTCCTGCACCATTTTTTCAGGGGCTTCTTAAAGGCTGGGTTGAAAACTAAAAGAAGGGGGAATTTGTTTGCAGGGGTGGGTGGGGAGACCGCAAGTCAATCTTGACTCCTGGCAACTGCCTGGAAAATTTGGTGCAGTTTTCTAAGGCAACCTTTTCAGAAGGGGCTGCCCTCGCTGGGGCTGAGAGAGAGGACCTGGCCCAAGGGTGGAAGGAGCCACTGGAACTCACTGCCCCTTGATCTGGACTGGGGTTTTCAACCACTACGACTGGACAGAGGAAACTGTTACCTTTACCTTGAATGGTGAACAATATTTATAGACTATACACAACAGGTGGTCTTGGACTTACAACAGTTCATTTAGTGATCATTCAAAGTTACAATGACACCAGAAAAGTGACTTATGACCATTTTTTCACACTTACGGCCGCTGCAGCATCTCCATGATCACGTGATCAAAATTTTCACGCCTGATAACTGACTCATATTTATGATGATGCAATGTCCTGGGGGGGAGTCACATGATCACCTTTTGCGACCTTTTTATAAGGAAAATCAATGGAGCTTCACTTAACAACTGTATTATTAACTTAACAACTGCACTAGGTCATAACAAAAAAAATGATGATAAATGTTGAATATGATGACAAAAAAAAATTTGTACCCAGATGTTATACTGATTGATTAATGATGAATTGTTTGTTTAAAAATCAAAAATAAAAAAACAACAGTACATGTAGTCCTCGATTTACGTCCTTAATGAACACATTTCTGAGGTTAAGTTTGTTAAATCCATTTTTTCCGTGTTGGAAGGGACCTTGTAGGTCATCTAGTCCAATCACTGCAGCTGATAATATTTAGTAACTGCACTTACATTGCAGTTAGTAACATAGCTTTTAAGTGAATCTGGCTTCCCCATTGATTTTGCTTGTCGGAAGTTTGAATGAGGCCCGCACACCACAACTGTCATAACTGTGAGTAAGTTGCCAAGCCTCTGAATTGTGATCAATGGCCCCGGCGATGCCGCAATGGCCTGAAGTCCCTTTTTTCAGGGCCCTTCTCACTTGGAGCGCTCACTAAACAAAGTGCTGTAAGTCTGTAGGCGCCTGGTGGCTCTGCAGACTAAAAGCACTGTAATTTAACACCAGCTGTTTGCAATTAGTGTAAGTTCAAATCTCACCAGGCTCAAGGTTGACTCAGCCTTCCATCCTTTCTAAGGTAGGTAAAATGAGGACCCGGATTGTGGGGGCATTTTTTTTTTTTTAAATTTGATTTATATGCCGCCCTTCTCCGGAGACTCAGGGCGGCTTACAAGGCGTTAAGCAATAGCCTTCATACTTTTGTATATTTTATACAAAGTCAGTTTATTGCCCCCACAATCCGGGTCCTCATTTAACCTACCTTTGAAAGGATGGAAGGCTGAGTCAACCTTGAGCCTTGGCGAGATTCGAACCCTGCAGTAATTGCAGGCAGCTGGTCTTAATAACCAGCTTAATAACAGGGTGCCTTAAACCCCTGTACTACCAAGGCTCTTTGGTCAATAAGCTGAGTTTGTATAAAATATACAAAAGGATGAAGGCTATTGCTTAACGCATTGTAAGCCGCCCTGAGTCTCCGGAGAAGGGCGGCATAGAAATCAAATAAAAAGAAAAGAAAAGCGGAGGACCGCCTGTAGCTTCCAAGCGCTTGCTGGAGCCGCAGCCGGCAGGAGGGGCGGTGGGGGGGGGCGGGGGCGCAGCAGAGGCGTTCCCCCGCCGTCCCCGCCTCCCTCCCTCCCTCCCTGCCTGCCCCGGGCGGGGACTCTTCCAGCGGCGGCCGCGGGAGCAGCAGCGGCGGCGGCGGCGCGGGCGCGGGGCGATGGGGCGGCCGCAGTAGGGCCGGGCCGGCGCGATGGGTTCGGAGCGCGGGGCGCCGCTGCGGCCGCTGGAGGCGGAGCGGGCCGGCGGGGGCTGCGCTTGCGGGCGGCGGGGCTCGGGCGCGTGGCGGGCGGTGGGCGGCTTCCTGGCGCTCTCGCTGGCGCTGCACCTCCTGACGCTGGGCTGCTACCTGGAGCTGCGCTCCGAACTGCGCCGCGAGCGGACGGCGCCCCAGGCCGGCTGGCAGCCCGGCGGCACCGCCAAGCCCCGCCGCCCCGGCCCGCCCGGGACCTCGCGCCCGCCGCCCGGCCCCAGCCCCAGCCCCAGCAGCGCCACCCCGGCGAGCCCGGCAGCGGCAGCCCGCGGCAGGTGAGTGCGCGGCGCAGCGCTGCTCCGGGGACTCGGGCCAGGTCGGCAAGCGCCTCCTTCCCGCTCCTCCCGGCCGAGGATGCGCCGGTGACAGCCGGGCAAAGGCGGCCGGCCCCCCGGAGGCGCGGCCTTGGAGCGGGCCGGCCGCCTCGCCCAGCCCGCCTTCCCCGCGGCGGCAGGTCCGGGTCGTGCGCTGGGCGGGGGGAGGCCGGAATCGGCGGGGAGCCTTGGCGCGATGGCAGCGGTTCCCGGCAAGTGGTCGTGAACGGACGAAGGCTGGTGGCTCTGGCTGCCCTGCGAAGTGCGGAGTCCTTTCCCTCTGCAGGCAGAAACCCCGGCGGTGTTGGCATTGCGGGTCCCTAAGAGGAAGGAATGAGCCCGGCTCCGTTCTCGGCTACTGACTTAGTTGGCGCCTTTGGGCTGCAGAGGAGCCAGAGGGGCAGAGACCCCCCCCCAATCAATAGTAACCGAAGCCAGCACCAACCAAACTTAGCCTCTTGCGCAAAGTCTGCAAGTGCTGGGAGGGTTGTTTTGGGATGGGGGTCTCTGTGCACGCAAAGAAAGGCATGCTTATAGCAAATTGCTTGTAGTTTTCGAACCTTGTAATGCCTGCTTTGAAAAGAGTTTGTAATAAATAAAAATAAATAAGCGATGCAATCATGCATCATTCTGGACAGGCGGATGGAGCCATCATGTCTGGGAACAGGCAGAGTTTAGGTAAAACAAAGGTAAATAACTGGAGTCCTTGTGGAGCCCAGGGACTACAGATTGCAGATTGCCCTCTCCTGGTCTGGGCAGGGACCCTTCCTCCAGCAGCAGGCAGAGAGGTGCCATGGAGCCCCACAGAGCTAGAGAAGGGGGAATCTGCCGTTGGGAAGCTTTCCATTTGACTGTAGTCCTTGGTGATGAATATCCTGGTGCAAGTTGTTGGAAGAGTACATAATGATCAGTGCACAGGCAGAGTAGGTCCCTCCTGCAGGAATAGGACACTAGGTGCAAATTCCATGAAGTTCGGCTTCTCCAGGGAAGCTCCACCTAGCGCATATTAGCAATAGCAAAAGCAGACTTGTACACCTCTCCGTAGCACTCTGAGTGGTTTACAAATGTCAGTATATTGTCCCCAGTAATGTGGGTCCTCATTTTACCGACCTCGGAAGGATGGAAGGCTTGAATCAACCTCGAGCCCATCAGGATCAAACTCCTGGCTATGGGCAGAGTCAGCCCGCAATGCTGCAGTCAAACCACTGTGCCACCAGGGCTCATGCCGCCAGCAAGCTTTCCATCTAACCACAGTCCTCCCTCCAATATTGCTCTAATAATGGTTCAGCCTCCAGCAGCTCTGGCTAACATGGCCAATGGTGAGGGATGCTGGGAGTTGTAGTTCAACCAGGATTTTTCATTATGGCCATTGCTGCTGTATACGGATGCCTGTCTGATTTGGTTGTGCATCCAATGATTGTGCCACTGCTTAGGAGCGGGTGGTGTTAGCTGGTCTGTGGAGGATATTAGGGTCTGACACGTATGGCACCTGCTCTGTGGTTCATCTTCCAGTGTGAAGCTCCAGGCAGCACAGATGGTGGCCAAGACGCCCATGATCCTGCCAGCCCTAGTTTTGACTTGCTGCTTTCATGGCAGCTGTCTCATTACCACAACAAGGTGGGACCCGGAGGCATGGCCCCTGGCATGTGGTAACTCTGGCAGGGGTCCCTCCAAGGACAAGTCATTAACCCCCCTGATGGATTGGCTGAAATGTGCTGGAATTTCTAGCATGTGTAGCAGGGGTGGGTTCTAAATTTTTTTACTACCGGTTCTGTGGGTGTGGTTTATTTTGTGGGCATGATTCGATGGTCATGTGACAATTCTTTAGGATTTAGCAGAGGTACTGGTCTACCAGGCTTTTAACTGCTTGCAGAGCTGTACTGGTCTACCCATTTGTTCTTGAAGCTTTCCGGTCTACCCATTTGTTTTTGGAGGCACCAATCTACCCATTTGTTTTTGGAGTGCACTGGTCTACCACCACACTGCCTTTTAACACTGATCAGCTGTAGGGCGGCCCTTTGAAGCCCCGTGGCAAGAGTTTAAAGAGTTTTTTTCCTTCTAGCCGATCAGCTGGGACTTGGGAGGCAGCGAATAGATTGGGGGCGGGGCCAAATAAAAGGTAAGAATAACGCGGGGGTGGGTTTGAGGGTCCAGCTCCCGAACAAAGAGAACCGGTTTGGTGACGTCATATTGTCACCGCTACCGGCTCGGCCGAACCGGGAGGAACCCACCATTGATGTGTACACTATTGAAACAGCGACGTCTATGCTGGCTGGGGCATGTCGTGAGAATGGCTGATGGTCAGATTCCGAAAGATCTCCTGTAGGGAGAATTAGTGCAGGGAAAGCGTCTCAGAGGGAGACCACAGCTGCGATATAAGGATATCTGCAAGAGGGACCGAAAGGCCCTGGGAATGGACATGAACGACTGGGAAATCTTGACCTCCAATCATTCAGTTTGTAGGCTAAAAACACAGCATGGCCTTCTCCAATTCAAAGAGACACTTGCTTGGCAGGCTGAGGCAAAGACGCAGTCCCAGAATCGGCGAAATCTGGGGGCTGGGCAGGGGACAGAATGTATCTGCCCTCAGTGTGGAAGGGATGGCCACTCTCGAATCGGCCTTTTTAGTCACACTACATGCTGTTTTAGGACCTCCTTCCAGAGCACGATACCATAGTCTCTTGAGACTGAAGGATGCCAATGGAAAGTCTATGCACGGTGACATGTTCCTCATTGGAACCCCCGGACTACCATTGTCCTATGCTGATATGACACCTTTGTATCCCGAGGTAGCACATGTCGGAGTGAGTACACCTGTGGGATTTCCTGCACTGCATGAGTCAGGCACACGGGGTCATGTGATCTCCTTTTGTGACCTTCTGACAAGCAAAATCAATGGGGAAGCCCGATTCACTTAACAACCTTGTTACTAACTTAACAACTGCAGGGATTCACTTAACAAATGTGGTAAGAAAAGTAACAAAATGGGGTAAAATCAGGGGTGAAATGTTCCCGGTTCAGACCGGGTCGCCTGATCCGGTAGCGATGGAGGCGGGTGGTTCGGAGAACCGGTAGCAAAAATCCCTGCCCCCCACCCATGCCCAGCTGAGTCACGCGATCATCAGAGGCTTTTTTTTTTTTTTTTACTTTTAAAAGCATTTTTTCGGGCAAAGAGATTGTAGAAAAAGATCCTTTTAAAAGCCTCTGACAATCCCAGCTGAGTTGCCTGATTGTCAGAGGCTTTTAAAAGCATTTTTTTCTGCAACCTCTTAAGGTTGTAGAAAAAATGCTTTTAAAAGTTAAAAAAAAAAAAGTTGGCCACGCCCACCCAGTCACATTACCCCCACCAAATCACGCCCACAAAATAAGCCACACCCACAGAACAGGTAGTAACAAATTTTACATTTCACCACTGGGTAAAATTCACTTTAACAAACTGTCTCACTCAGCAACAGAAATGTCGGGCTCAACTGTGGTCGTAAATCAAGGACTACTTGTGCTTCAGTTTGGATTCTACAGAATGTAGGCACATCCTGTACTATAAAGCAAGCAGAGCCCTCCCCCCCCCAAATAATGCTCTCTGGATGGAGGGGTGGTCTTGGTAAGATGCTGTGAAAACCAAGGAAGGGGAAGGAGTGATGGGCAAGGAGGAGCCAACCCTGGCTAGGGAATAGATGGTCCCTGCAACGCCCAGCAGGCCTTCCCTCCTTCCCTCTGTTTGCTCTTGCCCGGTCCTCATCCTGTTAGGTCCAGCAGCCCCACTTCTGCTAGAGCAGCCCCCTCCCCCTGTTTCCTCTGCCTCCGTTTCCCCTTCATCTTTTCTGCTTTTTCTGTGGAAAGAGGGTGGAAGCAGGTTGGAGATATTTTTATGTTTTGGGGTGTGAGATGTAGGTGAGCGCTCAGTGAAACTTTTACAAATGAGGAAGTTTACTAGCAGTGAATTCCACGCTGTGGTTAATCTTTCAGGTGTGGGTGCATTGGCTTTGCCCATTCTTGGCTTACATAGATGCCCATCAAGGATGGCACACAATGACATGGATTGCTTTTGTGAGTGGCTTCTTACAGGGACAGAATAGGTTGGTGCAACTTTTTTTATCTCTTGGCTTCGACACTGTTGATCCCGATATCTGACTTCAGGAATGGAGGGGGGTGGGTTGTGGATGCTGCTTCCCAGCACTTTTCCCCCTTCCTCTGGAGTCACTTCAGAGGTGGGTTTCAGCAGGTTCTGACCAGTTCTGGAGAACTGGTAATGGAAATTTTAAATAGTTCAGAGAACCGGTAGTAAAAATTCTGACTGGCCCCGCCCCCATCTATTCTCTGCCTCCCAAGTCCCAGCTGATCGGGAGGAAATGGGGATTTTGCAGTAACCTTAAAATTTTGAAACCCACCACTGAGTCATGTGTGTTAGGGAAAAATACCCTTTGGGGGATTCCTCAATGCTTTTCCCACTTCTTGTTAGTGCCTCGGAGGATATCTGTTGGCCCAGGCCCAGTTTGCAATCTTGACTGGCCAGGACAGCCATTGTGGCTCTGCCCCCTGCCTAGAGGCTGTCAGCATATGGATGGGGAGAATGATCCCTAAGAATATGGATGGCTTCTGATTAAAGGATCAAGATATTCCATCTCAATGGGGCTGCATTTCCCCAGGCAGAAACTCTGCATAACATGGGGGTTTCCCCTGGATCTGTTGTCCAAGGGGCAGAAGTGGATGGCAGAGTTGTGGAATCAAACACAGGACCCAAAGCAAATTACCAAGGCTTAGTGCAATGTTTATTAGGCAGCATGTGCTGCTGGGACTCTCCAAAGAATATTGAGAGATGGCTGCCCGCCCAACAAAGGGATGCACTTGTATTTATACATCTTAGAAAGGTTGGAAAGATCAATGTATAAGACACATATGATTTAAGCATGCATAGCTGTAGATAAAAGTGAGCTCAGGTTCCTTCTTGTGCCTGGTTGGCT